ATTCAGATGATTTGTCTGATTTAAAAGTGATTTATTTGACTCAAAAGTGATTTATTTGATTTATTCGACGTAAAAGTGATTTATTTGATTTAATTGATTTAAAAGTGATTTATATGATTTAAATTTGATTTTGGAGTGATTTAAATCAGCTTTTTCCCCCTTGGTTTGACCACTCATCAAAATGAAAATTTTTAAGTAAAGGTATGACATGGCTATTAAACTATTAAATTAGGTTGTAAACAACGAAAAAAGAAGAGACTGAAAGTACGTTAGTGATGATTACCGAGAATCCTTCGAGATATTCACTACGATTGACCGCGTCGTCTTCGAAGTACCAATATAAAAATCAGATTAAAATAGTGCCATTTTACTTAGTTGCACAAATCTAGAATAGAATGAAGAGGGACATGTAAAAGACAGTATTCATCATTGATCGAGGAAAGATTACATCACAAATGATTATTTTCAGATTTTCTTTTCCGGATTGTGAAACATTCCGAGTACCTACTCATATCTGATTATCTCTTGTTTGACATTTTTCGCTCTTCAGTGGAATCTTTTTTCTGAAATATTGTTCTAATTCATTGTATTCTGATATATAAATCCAAATAGAAGCTCATTCTTTTCGATTGTCGTCACAAAAACTTGCTACCGTACAGTATTTCACTATCGAGTCTCGCTCTTTTCTTGGAATATCAAATGACATCATTGAAACTTTCTGCCCTATTACTGGTACGAGTCATCGTACGTGTGAGTTTTAACAAAATTCTAAAAGTACGTTTATTTGAGTTTTACAAACGATGAAAAATGTGTTGAACTCAAGTCAACATATTCTTTGTATGCAGTTAATAAATCAATTTTGATAAACGTTATTCAATAAACTTACTAGTATGGCAGAGGGTGTGGAAAATTCGTGGGCTGTTGTCTGCTTTATATCACACGCTTATCAAGAGTCAAATAATTGTCAGGCCGAAATAACCTATGCGAAAGAACAATGCAAACCCATAATTCCTGTTTACATGGAAAACAACTGGAAACCTTCCGGCTGGCTTGGTATTCTCTTAGCGGGTGCCTTATACATTAAGCAGCCGTCTTCGAATTCGGAGTGAGTTTTATGTTTTATATTAATTAAACGCTACTATTGTTATCGAAAATTAAGATCTCTAACAACAGCTATTGTTGAACGGCTTCAAACGTTCTTACCGGGTAAGATATTGGAATGACAGAGAAATAATGATACAATATCTTTATTGACTCGTTTATGAAAAAAAAAGTGTTCTTGATATTGAGGATTCAACATAAAGAATAGTGGCGTAGCCAAAAGAGGGCTAGAGGGACTGAATTCCGGCATTAACTAGCTGAGCCTCAGCATAAACCATTCGCATTCCCGCATGAATTTTTAGCTACCAGCAATAAGTCACAGGAAGGAAGGGGCGAGCCCCAGCATAAGTCAAATCCCGTTTACACCATAAATGAAGAGAAGTTCGACAACGTAGTAGACTATGTAGAAGAGTTGTAATGTTTATTCGACATAGTAAGTGCACTTTGTCTCGCATTATTCTATAATTTCCGATCACTCTTCAAACATTTTGTAAAATTCGTTCTGATTTTTTTACGTAGGGATGAAGATTTTAGGATGATTGGGAACTAAGTAGGAGTGACATTTTATCTTTATACTACTAGTCAAAGTAAAGTATTTTGTGGAACTCACATATAAAAATGTGATTGTAAGTTTTAAGTCGAAGTTTTGTGGCTCCCCCATTCCCATTACAGATAGCTCCCTATTACAATAGGTGCGGCATAATAAATGATTGCCATGTTTGTTTGCTCGAATGAAATTGTTCATTATGCATTGATCAGATCATTTATATTAGTTGTATTTTGTGATAATCAATTATCATGGACAATGTAAGTAATACTTCTAACAATGAAGAAGAAGAAATAAAACTTATTATGAGTTCATTATTAACTGATATGATTACGATAGTTTTGTTGATGCGTCAACAGGATCTTACAAAATTAAATAGAGAACGTATATATCGATGTTGAAAACGAAAGCGACAAGGAAATAAAACCGAACATATCCTTTAAATATCAAAAACAAAAACGAAAAAATCGACCTGCGCGTCGATCAAATAATGGCAATGACGAAGAGTTGTCGTAAAGATATGAACAGATTAATTTAGCTTCTTCAATTTATTTAAAGGCATCTTTTTCGGTTAAGTCAATCATTAGAAAAATAAAATAACAATGGTTTAAGGAAAATAAAATAAAAAAAGAAAATGAATAACGAGAGAATAGCAACAAGCAAATAAAAAATAGAGTACCTGTAAAACAATTAAAGATAAAATTTCTATTTGGAATTCGAATATAAACAAGAGAGATCATTTCTCTGACGATTGATTGTTCTGGAAACAACTATCGTCTATTAGATATTATTCACTTTATACATTTAATATTAGCATAACTAGACTGAAAATGATATGTGGGTTTCACGTTTTAGTCCCAAAGGGATTGCGCTGACAAGCTTTTTTTTTTTACCAAAGTCGAACTAATACAAATTCTATACCGCCGATATTGATTTTGACAAGAATCAACAAATCAATATTTTTTTTATTCATTCGCCGTCGGTAAACTTGCAATACGCAAAACTGCTCCGTTGAAAGATAAAGCGGGGTTATAATTTTAACATACTTTTTTTTCTCATGATTTCAGTCGCCCTAATAGCTAGAGAATTAATTCTTTCCCCAGAACAAAGCCAAAAAACAAAGGTTCTAGCTGATATACAAAAATCGTCGAGCTCGGAGATAAACTGGGAGAGTTGGCTTTGCATGATTTGAAGACGAAAAATATCTATACAGAATGGCTAACAGTAGCTCATATATTATGCTTATGAGTTTCGGCCGTGTTGTGATAGTTTGTCCTGAGTTTGGTCCGAATTTTTAACTTACAAAATAAAAAGTTTCATTGGATGTGGTTCTATAAAACTGGTTTGTTATTAATGACAGATAGATCTTTAACTGAACTATACCCGACCAATTATATATTCGACTGTATTTTTATTCGGCAAACTTAAATGGCACGTTTAAAGAACTCCTGAGTGACTATAAGGTGTACTAGTTTAGATTTTGATTTGACTATCAACAAGTGAAAGACAGATCCTTCATCTGCGGGTGTACCAAAGCCGTTTTCATGGAGAAATGTCGAATTCACATATCTTTCGAAAGCATCTTTTAAAACAATCTGAAAATTTCACTTTAGACTTAGTTAAATGTACTCTTTCATCGGTTAATACCAGAAGTTGACATATTTTGATAGGTAGTTCAGAATTTTTCTAGCAATCCTTGAACCATCGAAAAGGTCAAAAGTATCTTCGGATAGTGTCAGATGAAAGAGCACGCTAAACTGAGTTTAGAGTGAAATCTTCAGATTTCTTTACCCTTTCTACTGAGAAAATATGCAAGGCCTAATTTTCTTCATGGGAGCGATTTTATTAGGTCTACTGGCAAAGCGATGAGTCTTTCACTTGTTGACAGTCAGAACAAAATGTAAACGAACACATCTTGTAACCGTTGAGAAGTTCTTTAAGCATGCCATTTATCTTTGCAAAATTAAGATACAATCAAATATACAGAGTGTCCCAAAATTATAAGACCCCCTCTTATGTTTTCAAGACCATAAAGATTTCTCCAACTAAAGAAGGTTTCATTCCCAATCTAGCGATAGGAAGAGCGCCAAATTCTGTACAAGGTAAGCTATTTTTCTGTTCTCACCAATTAGTTACAAAAATATT